TTTTATGACCATGGATTTTTCTTAGTTCTTATTCTCATATGGATGTTAAAATTATTTTAAAATGTTCTCTCCTTCTAAACATATACCCATTTCTCTCCCTCCAAACACATATATATTTCACCTACCACACTGCAAGGACTGTTCCTGAAATGCCAAACATGGGTGTTAGAGAAGGAGACCTCCTTCTTTCTCCTCCCCTGCCCTCATATTTATCTTCTGGGAATGAAGGATGATTGATATTTATCAATTGTCTAATGCGAGATGTTTTAAATTTAATTTTTTTTGATATTTGTAACAACCTTACTTTGGGATTATTTCACCTCAGAAAGATTAAATGCCTCATCTATTCTCACAGATTACACGATGCAAGAATGAAAGAACACAGGGCTCAGAGCTTAGCAAGATTCAGGGCTGATCTAGGAGCACCCAAGGTCTCACCAATTCCAAAACCTGTATATTGTTTCTGTTGTTTTTCTTTCAAGTTTGTTTATTTTAAACAGATTTTGAGCATTCTAATCTCCTTCGGATAGGTGCTCAAAAATAAGATCAGTGAGTATCTTAATGCTTGGACACTGAAGTTTTAAAATTTTGTTCTCTTTTTCTTTTTTTGATTTTCCTAAACATTAAATAGGCTGAGTTAACATTCTTATTCCAAAGGCTGGAAGTAAGATGAAAGCCAAGAGTCTGACTTATTTCTTCATCAATTCATTCAAATCCTACAAAGCTATTCATTGACTTGGCCTTTGTCTCCCAAAGACCTTAATTTACAGTGGTTTGATTTTATTACTAGCGACTGGGAGAGTTTATTGCATAGAAACAAACCTTATGGTCCCTTGGAGGAATATGAAAGTCATCATGGCTGAGATGACCCATGAGTAAAATGGGTGAAAAGCACTCTAGAAAGGAAGAATTTGTAAGAGGAAAAAAAAGATGGTTAGTGCTAATGATATAACTTGGGCTAGATATGTCATTTAATCTCCTTAGATACCTTGTGCAGGATGGAGCTTAAAATAAATTTTCCTTTTTTTTCCTCAATCTAACACACATAATCATTACAGAAAAAAAAAAGGTTTAGGCTGAAAAACCAACAAAATAAACACACGTAATTCAATCCACCCAGATATAATGACATAAACATTTGATATGCAGACTTTCAGCTTTTCGTTTTTGGGTTTTCTGGTTTTTTTTCTTTTTTTCTTATTTTCTTATTTTTTTTTTTTTATGCAGTCTTGCTGTGTCACTCAGGCTGGAGTGCAGTGGCGCGATCTCAGCTCACTGCAACCTCTGCATCCCGGGTTCAAGTGATTCTCCTGCCTCAGCCTCTTGAGTACCTGGGATTATAGGTGTCCACAACTATGCCTGGCTATTTTTTTTGTATTTTTAGTAATGACGGAATTTGACCATGTTAGCCAGGCTGGTCTCAATCTCTGGACCTCCCAAAGTGCTGGGATTACAGGTGTGACCCACTGAGCCCAGCCCCCAGCTTTTTAATCTGTGTACATAATTTAACAGAAATAGAACCTTAGCATAATACATCTTTGAAGCTTGCTTTTAAATTTAATATTATGAATACAAATTAATATCAATAAGGGAAGATCAATAGTATAATAATTACACAGCTCACGCTACAATATCATGCGCTGCATCATAATTTACTAATCTATTCTTTAGGATTAGACAATGAGAATTGTTTACAATTTTTCAATTGCAAATACAATGAATGCCCACAAAATTGTTGGTGTAAGGGAAACAATGAGAGATAACAACAGGTCTGGAAATGAAACTATTTATTACACTAAAGGTATAAACATTTTAAAGGCTTTTGATAGATGATCCCAAATTATTTTTCTGAAAATTGTGCCAGCATACATAGCAGTGTATGACTGCATCCATTTCCCTAAACCAGCAGACTGATAGGAATAAATGTCATTTCATTGTATTTTGTTGCAATAATGTTGAATAATTTTTACTACATACATTGGCTGCTTGCATTTCTTCTTTTATACATGGCTTATTATCTTTTTTTGCCCACTAATTTTTAGCTGAGTATTAGTCTTTCACTTACTGATTTATAAAATCTCTCATTTTAAATATAGTAATGTTTTATAATAAATGTTGCAATTTTTTTTCCAATTTGTCTTTTTTTCCTTTTAATTTTGATTATAATGTTTTATGCAGCAAACTGGTTTTACATTGTATGTATCCAAATCCATCAGCATTTCCTTATTTGCATTTTCCCTTTGGTTTTGGCTTAGATAATTCCAAGAACTTTAAAGCAACTTTTAAAAAGTCAAACTTGTGATACATAAGCTCTCTACAAGCTTATTCAAAATTTTCATGTTGTCTGTACTCATGATACTTGTTATCAAACTATGCCTTCTACGGAAGACCATTTTCCCATAATTTTAGTCAGGGTACTGTGCCATATGAATAATAGCAGTCTTTTTAATTTTTCAGAAAAATAAATTAAATAAAATATCTTTCAGATCTAAGGTTTCCTACCACATTTTTTCTTAAATATTTGGTGCTGCTACCCATTGCCTTTATTAATATCTAATAAAACCTGGTGTCATATTATATATTCTGTTATTTTAAATTTAATATGTCAATATTAAATGGTGTTGTGCAAAGATTGCTATCACTTCCAGATGTTCTGCTAACTGACAAGTTCAAGGATCTCTAGTGTATGGTATATATTTGCTACAGTTAAAAACTAAAAGAGAGGTAATGTTCACCACACAGAAAAATGAGAAAACTGAAGACTAAGAGTTCTGTTGTAACTACTAACTACTTCTTACCGTCTTTAAGATCCCATGTCTTGAGTACAAATATCATTGACAAACATATTCAAAGAATCTGATTGACACACTTGTGAAATTATAATTATCTGATGGGCTCAAATAACTTTTCCAAAGGTAAGATCTTTTTAACCACAAAATTATTATTTTTGTATTAGAAGCATAAGTGGGACATGGAAATTTATTCTTTGCTTTTTAATGCTTCCAAAGGCAGTCTTTATTGCTATACTGGGTCTGCGAAGAACACATACAAAGGCACCTCTCAACTGGTACTCACAAATAGAAGCTTTGAAAATATGCACCTATAAAACGCATGCATTTCCTGAACTGGTAGCTGCTTTATTCAACAGACCATTAAAAGCCCACTTAGAGGACGTCTCACAAGCTCATGTGCACTGCAGGTCCTTAAAGCTGGTGAACTCAGTGTAGCAAGAAACAAAACAAAACAAAAAAGTGGACCAACATCTACTAAAATTTACACAGAGAAAACAACCTCTCTCCCTAGACCCAGATTTCCTCCAACACTAACACTCTTCTAAGGAACAGGTAATGTGACAAAATTGCCCCACTTCCAATCCCCCAGCCCAAATCCAGCATCCCCCCTGCCCTCCAAGTATCAATCATCAGCCCGGGCAAGGCAAATGAACTTTTAATCAATAACAACTACTGTTTCTTGTACCAGGACTGTTTATGATTTAAAAGAGAAAAAATTAAATCAATCCTGATGTGAATGTTTTCTCTATTGAAGAGAAAAAAGCAACACCCTGTGTTAAAGAAAGGGGGTAGTTTCACATGTTTTAAAAATACATTACAAAAATAAATTTAAAATTGTTTGTGTGTGCATTGGCTATGGACAAAAAAAGTAATTTTTATGAGATGCTATAGATTGTAGCCAAGTGCCTTTAATCTGTCTTCACACCATTGTATTTCCTGTTTACATTCATACATTGGCGTAGATTAATAGAACTAGACGAGAATTCAGGAAATATCAGTCCAAAGACAGCTGCCTTGGGAGAACTACTACTGAAGGTGTTCAGGCATAGGTACAAGGGTCTATCACTTAGGAAGTTATAGATAAAACCTGGACAACAGAAAGTTTTATAGACTATATTCGTGGATGAGATTGATTGTATATGGAGATCTGGTATGTAGAACCTACAAAAGTAAGTCTACTCTTGTTGAAGATTCTTGCCCCTTTCTCTATTCATATCTGAAGGGCAGCCCTAGTCTGGAATTTACAGGGTTCTGCTTAAGAGGCTTTTAAACCCCAGCACCAGAGACCTTTAAGCACCCCATGTATTCTGATTCTCACCTCAATGTTCCTTCCATTACTCTAGGCTATTTCCAGGTAGGTCTGACTGAACACCATAAATCCTAATAATACTACATCTCAAGTATCTCTTTGGCCAGAGAGAAATCAAACTGGGCTCTTTATGAAGCCTGCTGCATTATTTTGGCATGTTTATACAAGACCAGAAATAACTTTCCTAAAGATTACTGAAACGAAGTCATCTTTCACCCAACTGAGAAAGGCTACACAGGCTTACGACCAATTTTAAAGAGTAGTGTGGGCCGGGCGCGGTGGCTCACGCCTGTAATCCCAGCACTTTGGGAGGCCGAGGCGGGTGGATCACGAGGTCAAGAGATCGAGACCATCCTGGTCAACATGGTGAAACCCCGTCTCTACTAAAAATACAAAAATTCAGCTGGGCATGGTGGCGTGTGCCTGTAATCCCAGTTACTCAGGAGGCTGAGGCAGGAGAATTGCCTGAACCCAGGAGGCGGAGGTTGCGGTGAGCCAAGATCGCGCCATTGCACTCCAGCCTGGGTAACAAGAGCGAAACTCCGTCTCAAAAAAAAAAAAAAAAAGAGTAGTGTGATGGTGGGGAATGATGACGGGAGTGATTTCTTGACTGTTTTCTTTTACACGTTGCTGAAATGGAACAAATCAATCCTGTCTTGATTATTTATAAAACCTTAACACCAACAAGGCGGGGTAAACTAATGAAACCAGGCGCAAGGAATGTGGAAACTTTCGTTTCTAAACTGCTGGCACACAGACATGTATTAGTGTCTTGTAGCTTTTAAAGGGCTTGAAGAAATGAGTTTTCTGCCTCCAACAACTGTTGGTAGAAAACAAGCACTTGTACCCGATTATTTACCACTGTAACTGGCAACCAGGGGAAGGATCCAGCAAAGAAGCCTATGTTTTTGAAGAACAAGGACAATATAACCTCATGTATATTTGGAAGAACACAATAACTGTAGGCCCTTAGAAAATAGTGACCACATGACTAGTAACACAAAAAATTTTGTAACAGACTTACAGGGCATATTTAATCCTTGTACTACCTCTATGAATTTAATATTTTCTACATGTTACAGATGAGGAAACTAAGTCTCTAAAGGATCAAGTGGCTTGTTGAAAGACTATTAATTATTGTGCAGGAGGTGGGTTTTAATTTTTTTTAAATAAAGACAATAATCTAAAAAGCCAGAATTTGAATTCAGGTCTATGGCTAAATCCTAAGTTCTTTACATTTTTCTAAGAAATATTTTTCCGGGAAGTGGAAGAAGAAAATTGACCTCTATTAAGTATTATGTCAGTTTGGAGTATGAATAAAAGATTTGATATCTGTCAGCCACAGTTCAATGCCACACCTGCTCTATTCTCCCTCTCTGATGCCCATTTATGAAAAGCTGATATTAATACATCCTCAGGACTCTTGAAAACCTGACAATTGTCATCTCTGCCATTGTTCCCATTATGAGGACACTGGTACTTGAGCTGAGAGTACCGTCTCCTGATACCTCCTAAGTCACCAAGCTTCCAGATGCAACTGTAGGTCAGGGGTCCACTCTGTGAAAAGCACCACAAAAAGGAAAACAGTGACATTTTGATGTAGTTATACCACATCTCGTCTGTGCTCTAAAGCTACACTGAGTTGCCTTATGCCGCTGAATGTCTAAGAAGAGAGGCTCCTTCAGCTTTTGCTAGCGGTCTTTCTTTTCACAGGGCTCATACTTTAGTCTTTGTGTCTGGAACAAAGGATGCACTAGACCTCATCTCCTTTCAGTGTCCCACTTTCATCCTCTGGGGCTCCAGCTGCCAGAACTTCTGCCTATGATCTTTAGCACTTGGCTGAAAGTTATGTGCTGTCCAGGTAGTAATAGCTCAGTGATCCTGATTTGGTGGAAGGCTCTTGGTTTACAAGAAGAAATCCGTGTGGCTCATCAGCATCATGACCTCACAGTTAAGTGGTCAAGGAATAAAATATGTATATATGTATATATATAGGTATATATGTATATATATATATATATATATATAATGAGTCATATGGTCTGAATATAGGAGCAAGAGCTTTTATCCATGTTCCCTTATCTGTCTGGAGTTTTGGAATGTAAATTTAAATGTGTATGTGCTCATACTGCTGTCATTAATGATAAGCTGTCTGGAAATTTAGTGATGGCATGTCAGACTCTAGGGACGGAAGTGGAATTTTCCATTACCAAGGTCATTACTTGCTATATTTAGTGCCTTGGACACTGTGGGTATTTATGTGACAAAGTGAGTGAGGGAAGGGCATTTGAAAAAAGGAAGAGAAAGAGAAACATCTACCTTTAGTACTGCCATTAGGCCTCAGTGAAAAGAACTCCTGCCCCGAGTCCCATACCTTATGGGGACTGTGCTTTGGAGGATCTTCCTCAAAATTTTCTAGTCCCCTTCCAGTGCCTGAGACAGGTGGGGCCCACAATGTCATCCAGGCAGAGCTTTCCATGCCAAGACAGGGACCCTCGTGGATCTCGGTCAAACCTCTATCTTATGTGTGGAACCAATTAGATGCCCTGAGGAGCTCTAAGATTCCCATCTGTGGGGTTATTCCAGGGGTTCAGGGTGCTGGCCTGGCAAACTGATTACTCCCACTGGCTGGTGTGGAATGTCTTTTGAAGGACTGCATGAGGTTGGGCCTCCAGAATGGACTGAAACAGTGATTAAAGGTGACTGAAATTGTTTATAGACAAGGACTCCATGTATTTTTCCAGAGCTTCACGTATTCTAGGGTAGTCCAGCCTTCAGGAGAAGGTCACCCATAAAAGTAGATTTCTGATAGGGAGGATCTAAACCTGATAACTTGCAGTCCAACATAACATTATTTTAAGCTCCTTAAGAATAGAAATCATCCTTATCATCATAGCTTTCCAAAGGCTGGCACAGTGCTAAGCATATGACAGACAGGAAAAAACATACTTAACTGATATTAAGATCTCTTTCTTCTGTTCATCCACCCCTTTAATAATTATTTCTTCTAACACAATATTTCCTGCTTGCAGACCACATGTGGATTCTCAGTTTCCAAAGCACACTGGGCTGGAGCTCATGATGTTACTAAAATGCCACCTCTCAGAAATGCATTGGGAAGAATATAGCACTAATAAATAAAGGAAACTGCATTGGAAGAGGTGTGATCAATGAATTTCTACAAGATTAAGACTCACATTTAGGGGGAAAGTCTTATATAAGCTTCAAATAAAACAATATTGTTATTTGCTCAGAATTCTAAAAATAGAGAAGCAGAGCAGACAGCTTTAATCTGAGAAAAGCACATGCTGCTCAACAGAATTCCAAGAATATAAAATATGCCTAATTATCTTTGTATAATTCAGAAAGCATAAAAAGTTATTACCCTGCTACAGCTTTATTTGAAAATAAAATTTAGCATTATTTCCTGATTATAATAGATAAGGCTGGTATTGTGCTTTTGTAGTTGTTTATAAGAAACAGATGAGAAGAGGGGTAGTTATTGCAAGGTATATATCTACTTTAATTGGCACTAGGAAATTATTAAAATAGAGGCAGCTTTGGGGACCAACCATCTTACCCTCCTTCCCTCCCTTTATCCTCTCTTTCCCTCTCTCATAGCCCGTGAAGGTGGTGCATCGCAAGATTCATCAGCCACCCTAAGGGGTGAGGTCATGTGGGGCCAGGCAACTCTCCCAAGACCAATCAGAGAAGCACCCATGCCCAAAGAGCAGCTGTTGCTGGACAAGGCTGTGAGTGTGGCTATTTAATTTTGAAGGGAAGTTTGGATAATGCACCAGATATGTCAACCATAAATATAAATACTTTGAAAATATATGTATAAAGGAAAGTAATTTTAAAATTCCTGTAATTTCACCACCTAAAGATAACTGCCATTAATAACTGAATACATTTCATTCCAATTTCAACATAGGCATAAATACTCTGCATATTTTTCACTAATTTTGTATAACACTAATTCCATATATGTTTCCACATCACTAGATATTTTCTAAAATACTGTTATTTATTGGCTATAAAATAGTTATCAAATGAATGCATCATCATTTATTTAATCTCCTTTTAAAATTTTTTCATTTTTAAACCAATGTATACTGACCATCTTTGTAGCTAAGTGTTTTTACACATACCTTATTTCTTTAGGATACATTTCTCCAGCTGGAATTTGCTGGGTCAAAGAGGATGAACTTTTTTAAAAGTTACAAATACTACAGTTTTATAGAAATAGTTATGCCAATTTAAACTCCTACATCCAGTGTACAAAGTATCTCTTTCTTCATACCCTGTGAACACCAGGTATTATGCTTCTCTCTTTTTCATTTCCAGTGTTACACTGTTATTATATTTCATTAATTATTCATCTGCAATTTATAAGGGAAGATTGCTGCCATCAGTTTCAGTGACCCGCCCACCCCCATGGATAAATATAATTTAGCCTATTTTAAAGTTTCACGGAGAATACAGAGATAAGTCTCATGGAGTTCTGTAAAAGAGAATCTTCTATGCTAGTTTTGAAGCCTCAATATGTGTGTGGATCCGAACATTGACTATTTCTGGTCTAGCTAAAGATTAAGAGTTTGCTAAGTGAATAGATCTTCTTTGTTACGAACAATTATTCTGTGTAATAACATGCACTTAAATTATATTTTACTCTAAAGAAAAGTGTGTAGAGGGTAGTTTTGGTTGGTTTGGTTGGTTGGTTGGTCAGAGAAGAATATTCATAATTTCTCTAGAACATTCTTTTATCCAAACCGCTGGAGTGCTGATGACTGACTAATGCATGAATAAAGTCAGTACTCTATGTTGAAAGTCTTCTTGAGACATAAAACTGCTTTTCTGGTAAGAGGGAAGGCTGAGAGTTTCTTCTCTTTTCCTTAATTTCTTTGTTGTTGTAATTCATTATTTTTCTTGGATCATATCTTTTAGGAAAGATGTGTCTGTTTAAGTAATTGCTTACTCCTGCTCACTCCTCCAGGTTCAAGGGCAGAACAATTCAATTGCACACTGTTTAATCCTTTGCTTCCAAATAAGCAATGTTCCCATCAGTATCCTCCTTTCTGCTGGTCTTTGCCACAAGGAGTTTTCCACACCAGAATCAGTCTCTGGATTCTTCTCTATCCAATCTAATTTGGTTTTTATTAAAACCAGAAATCTTTTGAAAATATTTGAATAAGCACCTTTGATCCTTTCATATTTTTCAAGGATTTCTTAGTTTCTTCCCAACACTCAGCTGCCAGATTTCTGGGTGCAGCCAGCCTTACACAAAGACATGTAAAGCTGATGGTATCATCTGAATACCCAGGGAAAGGCCTTTTTGGGGACCCTCAGGAGCATGGATGGCTGGGAGCCACATTGGCCCTGTCCTTCATTTCTTTGGAGATGAGTCAAAGAAGGCAGGACTTTCAGACACATGCTCCTTTCATCCGGCAGATAAAGTGTTCTCACAGAAACAATGAGACTTAGTAAAAATACAAGCAACTTCAGGATGCCTGTTTTCCCTCAGTCCATGCTCTCCCAAGATCTTTCTTTCTTACTAGGCCAACTCTTCTTAATGTAATTGTAATTTTCTGACTGAACACCCTGAGGCTATAAGGCCTTTCTACCTGTACAGAAGCATTATCAAGCTTTCTGGGTGTAAGAGTGAAGATTTAGATCTACACTAACATGCATGTGGAGATTTATTTTTTCTGATTCTCATTCCAAGGAGTTTAATCTTTTTATTATTATTATTATTATTATACTTTAAGTTCTTTTGTACATGTGCAGAATGTGCAGGATTGTTACATAGGTATACACATGCCATGGTGGTTGCTGCATCCATCACCCTGTCATCTACATTAGATATTTCTTCTAATGCTCTCCCTCCCCTAGCCCCCCACCTAC